TGCCAGAGGGCGGGGGCGGAGGGCGGAGACCGGCAGTCTCCCAGTGGTGAGCCGGCACCCAGAGGCCGTGTGCTGCCGGGAGTCTGTTCACGGATCGCACACGAGTAAGGCTCTCTCGCCCCGCCTTCTGCCGCTGGACCCGCCTGAGTAGTGGCGCTGCAAGGCCAGAGCCCTTAGCGGTGGCTGTCCCACATCTGTCAGAGGGGACCGGCCTGGCCCCGGTGCACATCTCGCCCCACAGGTCCCTTACCTTGTGGTGGCAGTGTCTGGTCACTTGGGATGATGTGTAAGAGGTTGGGCCTGACCACGCAGAGCCCCTCGGCAGGCCTCAAAGCTGGGGGTCTGGGGGGTTGAACTGAGGCGTGCTAGTCCTGGCCGTGTGTGCACTGAGTAGCCGCTGAGGCTCCGGGAACTAAGGGCCCTCCCCCACCCGGTGCCCGGTGCGCTGCTCACCTGGAAGGCGTGGTCCACCATCTCGACTCAGGCCACCATGGCAGGGGTGGGAGAAACGTGCTGGGAGGACCCCAAAGTGGCTCTTCCCCCCATAGGGTGCGGAAGGACTGCAACGCTGGCCGGCCAAGCGGTGGGCACATCGAGGATGTGGATGGAGGGGGGACCCCACCAGCTGGAGGGAGCCACGCCCCAGGTGCTGACAGCCGGGAGAGCAGCACAGAACAGCCCAGAAAAGCTGGCTCCCAGCCCTGGGCCTCATCCCATGAGGGGACACAGAGGACAGGTGGGTACAGGGGCCTCGGGGTGGCTGCTAAAGGTCCCTTGATCCCAGAGACCAACACCAGGGCTTGCTGTCCTTCCGTCCTCGGGGAGCGCCATGCATTGAAACCCAGCACTGGGCCAGCGACCGCCTGACACTGCTGGCTTGGAGGTTCTGCTCAGGAGAGCTCTCTGTCTACTCCGCGTTCCCCGTTTAGCTGTCTGTCCACTGCTGGGGCAGTTGGCCATGTGTCCGTCCACATGTCCGGCCGGCCTCCCTCTCTCCATCTCTCCCTCCTGGGCCGGGGGGTCCCCTGCCTGTGTTGGGCTGTGCCGCAGCTGCCAATTGTGGGCCCTCCCTTGCTCTGCGAACGCCCACGCTGCGCACCCCAGACTCCTGCCTCCTTTGCTGCCTCTCCCCGGCTCTCACCGTCGTCCTCATTTTCAGAGGTTAAGAAAAGAGGGCGTGCCAGCACCCAGGGACGTGGTGGGGTGGGGCCCAGCTCAGGCTGAGTCTCAGGTATACAATCCTGTTTCAATGGATGCTCATGTTGTCGGGCCAGCTGGATGGCGGAGCTCTGAATGCCCAGCAGTGACGCCATGCCGGCTGCAGAGATGTGCCAGGGTCACGGAGGGTGCGCGTGCCACAGACGCGGGCCAGACGGTACTCTGCTTGCTCCCTGCCATCCTAGCTTTGCCCTCTCATGCCCGTTGGCAGGGCACCATCTGGCCTCAGTGCTGCAGCACCATCCAGATCACGCACTAAGCACCTTGTGCGTGCTCCTCCTGCTGCCAGCTCAGCCTCGGGTGAGCTGCAAGGAGCAGCCCCTGCTGCCTGGGAGGCCCAGAGCAAGGCAGAGGATGAATAGAGGAGGCCGGATCTCTGTAGATGTGGGCAAGACGGCAGGAGGGGTGGCAGATGGTAGAAGGCCAGGGAGGGAGGGAGAGGGCAGGTGGCAGGCAGGGGATATGAGCTCCTTGGAAGAGGAAAACAAGCTCCCTTGCCCCACCTGGGCTGCTGTCCCGAGTCTGGCAGGGCACCCACCCAGGCCTCCAGTGCAGAGCTGGCTCCGGGCGGAGTTCTCATTGCTCGGTTAACGCCTGGTACCATGTGAAACGTGTCCACTTCAGGCCAGCCCTGCAGCATGGTGGCTACCGTGGCTGGATTCCACACGGCAGACAGTTGAGGTTCTCGACCCTGCTTCGGGAGAGTTCGAGAAGGGACTGTGGTGTGTCTACCCTCACGGGGCGTGCCTTGGGCAGGGATGGCCCAGTGGGGAGACATCGCCGAGTGCTGTACATGGGTTCATCTGACCCTCACCAGGACGGCCCGTGGTTGTCCTCACCTTGCACACAGTACAACAAGGGCACAAAGAATTCCCCGCTGAGGCTGATCCTGGAGAAGAGTGTGAGTGGGGTGAGTCGGTGTGCATGTGAGTGGGTGTGTGTGAGCAGATGCACATGTGAGTGGGTGTGTATGTATATGTGCATGTGAGTGTGTGTGCAAGTGGGTGCACGTGTGAGTAGGCATGTAGATATGAGTGGGTGTACACGTGAGTGGGTGCACATGTGAGTGGCCATGTATGTACAAGAGCGTGGGTGTGTGTCTGTGAGTGTTAGTGGGTGTGTATGTATGAGTGGGCATGTATATGAGTGTGTGCGTGAGTGGATGCACATGTGAGTGGGCATGTATGTATGAGTGTGTGTGTGTGGGAGTGTATGTATGAGTGGGCGAGTATGTGTGTGGGGTGTGTGTAGGTGGTTGTGCATGTAAGTGGGCATGTATGTATGAGTGGGTGTGTGTGTGGGAGTGTGTGCATGAGTGGGCATGTATGTACAAGTGAGCGTGTGTGTGTGAGTGGGTGCACGTGTGAGTGAGTGGGGGTGTGTGTGAGTGGGTGTGTATCTATGAGTGGGTGTGTGTGCGTGAGTGGGGGTGTGTGTATGAATGGATGTGTATGTATGAGTGGGTGTGTGTGGGGGAGTGTATGTATGAGTGGGCGAGTATGTGTGGGTGTGTGTGTGGGTGGTTGTGTATGTGAGTGGGCATGTATGCATGAGTGGGTGTGTATGAGTGGGTATGTGTTGCATCAGTGGGTGTGTATGTATGAGTGGGTGTGTGTGTGTGTGCATGAATGGGCATGTATGTATGAGTGTGTGTGAGTATGTGTGAGAATGGGCGAGTATGTGTGTGTGTTTGTGTGTGTGTGTGAGTGGGCATGCATGTATGAGTGTGTGTGTGCATGTATGAGTGGGCATGTGTGTGTGTTTGTGTGTGTGTGTGAGTGGGCATGCATGTATGAGTGTGTGTGTGCATGTATGAGTGGGCATGTGTGTGTGTTTGTGTGTGTGTGTGAGTGGGCGTGTGTGCATGAGTGGGCATGCATGTATGAGCGGGCGTGTGTGTGAGTGTGTGTGCGTGAGTGGGTGTGTATGTATGTGTGTGTGTGCCTGAGTGGGTGTGCGTATGAGTGGGCATGTATGCATGGGCGAGTGTTCAGCTCTCACCAGATCAGGGCCCGCTGGCACCCACTGTCCCTTCTGGAGTCGGATGCGCCAGGCCTGTCCCCTCTTTTCTCTGTGAGGGCACCTGTGTGGCCACCCAGCGGACCCTCAGGCAGGCTGTGGTGGCTGTGGGCGGGACCCCGCCAGAGGCTGAACCCTCGTCCCGAGGAGGCCAACGCCAGTCCTGTGGGACCACGTGCCATGCTGCGGGCGAGCACCCCCTTCCTCAGCACATGGGAGGAGTGAGCAAAGTGGGCTCAGGGCCCACTGGGGGCTGACACCCCCCTCACAGCGTGCAGACCGGACTGTGGTCCATGTGAGACAGGAAGTCAGCAGGGGGAGTGGGGCCGGAGGGGACCCCTGGTCTTGCTGTCTAGGCATCAAGCTGTCAGCAGGCCTGCGGCTGCTCGGCCCCTTCATGGACACACGCGAACGTTTAGGGTCACCAGCTACATGGTGAGAACCACGGCCCCACGTCTCAGCCCCTCCGCTGCTGACTTAGATG